AAAACATATTCTTTGAGAGTTTGTTTTCTATTTACCTACTGATTTACCTTTGCTGTGGACACTAATTTTTCAAGCAACTGGTGCATACTTTAAGCTAAAATCTTTATTGTGTAGTTTCCATTAATCTGTAGCTGTGAAAATTCATGGTCATTAATCTGTTCTCAAAATAATTATGCCTGTATGCCAGCCAACTGCTTTCTGACTTGATAGTTTTTCTGTTCTATCGGTATTTTTCTGCTTTTTAGAAAACCTGCATTTTCCAGTTTGCAGCTAAGGTAGTAGCTGAGCTTTAGGAACTTGCCTTCTCTGTAAAGTGGTTCTATCAGGCAATTGTGCCATTGCCAAGTAGCACAGTGTCCTCCTCTTGGGTGTTAGCTACTCAGTAGGGATGGCAAGGGGAGCCTTGCCTGCTGTCAAGAAGCAGGCCATTATCAGACACAGACCTCAGGTTCAGGTCTTGCTGTGGGTTCTATCCTGTGGCTCAGTGAGACTTTCCTGAATGGAATGCATTTTTTTTCCAGCTCTTTTTCTTCCATGTTCTTCCCACATCAGCTGGCAGCAGCCAGTTGTTCTGAATGCTGCCCACAAATTGTTAGCTATTTTGCTTCTTGGCCTCCTAACTTGCCCCTTGAATAAGGAATTGATGTGTTTCATATCTGGGATTATGTTGCTTAGTGAAGCAAATATAATCCTTGCCAAGGAATGCCTAAAGTTTAAGGCTTGATTCCAGAAAATATGAAATAACAGCAATATCTGTAATTAATGTATATTGCATGTTTACCATATGCCAGGCATTATACTAAACATGTTGCATACATTAGCTTAGTTAATCCCTGACAGCCCTTTAAAGTAGGTTCCTTTGTTGCCCACATTTTATAGATAAGGAACCACAGAAAAATTAAATAACTTGCTCAAGTGTCTTGTGGAATCTTAAATCTGAAGAGTAGACAGGAATTTGATGTTTTCATCTGTAAAACCTCTCTGTAGCCACCTTCTAAGAAGAGGTTATGCTTGATGCAGTTTTCCCTGAAAGGGCAAGAATGCATTTCAGTATGTGGATCCGTATTCTCTTTATGTGAAGTCAGATATACTTGTTACAAAATGTTACTTGTAAGATGTAAAATTAAACATCCAGGCAAGCAATGGAGCCAGCTGACGCCCAGGGGTCCTGAGATGGGGCTGGTCAGACCCGCCCCTGCCTACAACCAGGCAGTTAATAGAATGTACTTATTAACCATGTGTGTTTCTTTGGGGTGTGTGACTTAGCTGCACATGTCCTTCACCAAACTTCTGCTTAGATTTTTCTAATTCATTTTTAAGAGTTCTTTCTGCAATAAGGGTGTTAATCTTTTTTTTTTTAAGTAGAGAGTAGACTAATGCTTACCAGAGGCTGGGAAGGGTGGGGGTAGGGAGGAGGATGAGGGGTGAACTACTGGGGACAAAACTATGTTATCTACTCTGAGTGAATCATTGTGCAGTATATACATGTATTGAAACAACACATTGTACCCCACAAAAATAAATATAAATAAAATTGAATTATAAATAAATACATTTTAAAAAGAAAAAAAGTAAAACTACATCCATACTATACTTTTATTAAATTAAAAGTATTTATTAGGTAGATGGTATGTGTTGCAAGATCTTAATAATCAACTTTCTTATCATAGATGATTAGGTTTGGTCCTGTCGCCTCAGAAAGCAAATGAAATTCTGAGTGAGTCTACTGTGAATCAGGGAAGCCCCACGATGTGACTCCCCCATTAGTGTGACCCAGTACTCTCTTGGGGATGAAAAAGTGCAAAAGTTTGGTCAATCAGTTGCCCTGAAGTCTGTTCCCTTGCCCCCATTACTTTGTGCATGCCATAATTAGTAGGGTGTGGGCAGAGGTGGGGGATTTCATACACAATCCTTAGACAGTTGATGCCCTCCGTTGTTAAAATGAACAAGTCCTAGCAGTGCTTCCCAACCTTTTGCACATCGAGGCAGGCACAGAAAATATTTCCTCTGGAGTAAACAAATGAGGCTCCTTGAATCTGGAGGTGATCCACTGTCACTTGTAACCCATTTCTAGCATACCCGTTTGGAACTTCTATTATAGGCATATATCAACAAGTTTCTAAGCTTGTTATGTATACGAAAGCACTCTGTACGTTACAAAGTACCATTGATGTGTTAGATTTTATTGGTAATTACTGTTAAGACCCAGGTGTTTTTTTAGTAAGGAGACATTGTATACCATGACTTTTTTTTTTTTGTTTGGGGAGCTGTCCTGAGAGAAACGGGAGCAGATGCCAGACCAATTGCTGGAGTTAGGTCCTGTATGTGATCTGGCATAGTAATGAGAAGTGGAAATGCTAGTGGTCAAGGGTCATATGGTTCAAGACTTCTTATAGGAGATCAAGCAGCTGGCAAGATTTGTTCTATTTCTCCTCATTAAATTCTCCACCAACTTTTCTGCCTATTCCAATTCTTTCTATTGTCGAATTCTGCCTTCTTTTTTTTTTCCTTTTTGTCTTTTTTTTTTCGTGTCTGGCAACGGATCGCAACCCTCAGTGTCGCGCCCGTACCGGACCGGGACCGGCAACGGGATCGCAAACCTCGGTGCTGCGCCCGCACCTTGCTCAGCCAGTGAGCGGGAACCGGTCTGTATGTGGGATCTGAACCCTCGGTGGGAGCGCCACCGTGCTCCCAAGCGGCGCACTGTAGAAGTGCTCCACTGGGCCGGCCGAATTCTGCCTTCTTTGGAAGGTCATTTCACTATGTCTACCTCTTCTCCACCAGGTTAAGGTCATTCACCATTCTCTGTTCTACAATTATACCTTGTGTGTAGTTCTATTGATTGTACTTCCAATGCTGTATTGTTATCTGTTTAACATATTTCTTTCCCCTACTAGACTGTGAGCTCCTTGTAGTTAAGGCTGTGCCTGATTAATCCTTGTACTTCAAGATATGCCCAGTTTATTTCATCACATTCCATTATTAGGCAGGACTGACGTGCTCTTTGATTCTAGCTGAAGTTTTTCTCTCTGTGCCTTTTTCCCATTAGTCCTCATTCTAACATCTGAAACAATTCCAGATAAAGTTACTTTTATGGTACTCACGTAATTGAATAATCTTCCAGGTATAGTTCCGTACATTTCTTTGAGCTAAACATTTTTACTGTTGAAATTTTGCTTTCCTGGTTTTTCTTTTTTCTTTTTTTCCTCAATAAGTTTCCTTTCCCTTTTCCCGTGTATAGAATCTTAGAATTTTAAGAATTGGATGGGACTAGAGGCCCTTCTTCTAACTAATATTATGTATTAATTAAGTAATTGAAACTGAGATATAGAGATATTTTGGGGCAGCACAAATGTTTCGAGTATTTCGTTGAGAATGAGGAAGTTTAGATTTAGTAAATTAAAAGAAAACAATCTTTCACCTTTCATTCTGCTTTAAAATGTATGTGCTGCTGGGTGTCTTCAGAATATTGGGCAAAGTGGAAAGATAAGTTTTATGTTGCAGTGTATGTATGGTATGGAAAGCTTGTAAGATTCTTTTAACATTATTGTTAAGAATTTGACTCTAAAGCCATGCTAGCTGAGCTTCAATCCTGGATCTGCCACATGCTAGCTGTAAATAACTTAATCTTGGGTTAATTTCTTAATCTCGATGTGCCTCATTTTCTGTATGTATAAATAAGCTTAATAGTAATTTTTTTTTTTTTTTTGTCTTTTGTCTTTTTTCTGTGTCCGGCAACGGATCGCAACCCTCAGTGTTGCCCCCGTACCGGACCGGGGACCGGCAACGGGATCGCAACCCTCGGCGACAACTGAAGACTGTCTTAACAAGCACAGCTCATCTGTGCTGAAACTAAGGCTGGGTTAAGATGGGGTTTAGGTCCTCATTAAAGTCCACAGCATAGAGTTTAAGAGGAAATGATGAAATGGTGCTCCCTGAAACATCTCTTCTTTAAATTTAATTAGACAAATTATACTCAAACTAGTAGATGCCCTGGGAAGGCAATCAACATTAGGGCTAATAAAAAGCTTGAATAGTATAAAAGGGCTGGAGGAGGTATTGTAGAACCTTTCTAGCACTTATGAGAGGTAAATTAACACCAATTGCTAAACATAGAAACTGGATAAATTTCAATATTCATTTAGAAATTAATTTTATGATGCTGTCCTAAGTATTAAAATACAGGTTATACTTAAATCATTCAAAGTTTGGCATGTTCACACATGTGCACAAAGTATTTGATAGATATTTACACACTGGGAGACACAATTATGGTCTGACTTTGGAGTTTTGGCAGATCTGGGTTCAAATTCTGGCAAGTTTCCCTACTAGCTTTTTTTGGGTGCGTGTGATCCGAACCCTCGGGCGGGAGCACCGCCGCGCTTCCCAAGCGGCGCACTATCCAGTGCGCCACCGGGCCGGCCCCTTGATGTTATAGTTTTAAGTGAGTTAGTACTTGCAAAGCAGTAAGAATTATGCTTGGCACATAGTAAGCATTCAGTATATGTATGGTAGCTGCTGCTACTGCTGCTGCCAGTATCACTGCTACTGTTACTACTATTACTGAGTTATACAAGCACCTGGTGAGATGTGGAAAGCCCCTGTGAAAATTCTGGTAGAATCTTACTGAAATACCATGTACTTATGATATAAATTTCTTAATGAGAGGCCCTACATACCACTCTCTGCACTGAAGCATGATTTGACCTGGATTGTAACCATATCTATGAAGTAATGAATTGTATATAAGCAATTTAAGAAGACCCATTAGCTTTTGGAGTCTGTTCCTTTGCAACCATCTTGCTAGGAATCCATTTCCTGTCTTTTTTAAAGAGTAAATTTATTTTCCTCATTGACATTCTGTAAACTAAATACTGGCAGTTTGTACTTTGTTTTAAGGTGTGGTTATAATGGTTTGTTATAATGTTTTAAGGTGGATTTAATGTTCCTTAGTAAACTGTTTTTTAATAATGCATCAAATTTTCTTCTTCTGTTGTCAGGTTGCTATCAAGATCATAGATAAGACCCAGCTGGATGAAGAAAATTTGAAGAAGATTTTCCGGGAAGTTCAAATAATGAAGATGCTTTGCCACCCACATATCATCAGACTCTACCAGGTAGGATCACTAGTGGTGTAGTAAATGGCTACAAATAACCCAGAATGGTCAACTGTATCTGTGGCTGCCTTTGAAGAAAATGTGGGTGGGTGAGCATTTGCAACTTTTAAAATTTCTGTGTTTATATGTTCACCTTAATATCTTCCCAACATTTCTGTTTCCTCACTTAGTATTTAATATCCTCATGTTTCTCCTGGCCATTTACTAGTGAGGTCTGCCTTACCCAGGTAGATCTATTTAATTTGTTCTTTAAAACTTTATGTCATTCTTAGCAAGAATTACAGAAAAAGATTATTCAGAAGATAATGAGAACTTATTATATTTAGGCCAGAATCCTAAAACAGAACGGGAAACCCAAAAGGAAGAGAGAATTTTGAGAGATTAAAAGCTAGAGATGGATATAACATCATTTTTTTTTTTTTTTTTTTTAAAAAAAGATGACCGGTAAGGGGATCTTAACCCTTGACTTGGTGTTGTCAGCACCACGCTCACCCAGTGAGCAAACCGGCCATCACTATATGGGATCCGAACCCGGGGCCTTGGTGTTATCAGCACCGCACTCTACCGAGTGAGCCACAGGCCGGCCCCAATAACATCATTTTTTCTAACAATTATTTAAGTACTAATTTCTGTGATCATGTTATGAATTGTGATGTCAAAGGATATTTTAAGTATGGCTACTTGAATCAATTAAAACCTACCTTTTTTCTATTCTAGTAGCGTCCTGGAGTAAGTTTTCCAAGAAAGCATTTAATTATTTTGATAATCAAGAGACAGATTCTATGTAATATGAGAAATTTCTGTTTTAATTTTCTTACCTTCCCAAGAAGCACTCATATTTCATACCATCCTCAAAATGATTATCTAGCCCTACTCCAAAAGCAGTAAATCTGATGGCTGGAATTTCAAACCAGATGAGAGGGGAGGACCTTGCCTTAGCAAGCTGGTGGAAGTGATATTTTGAGAGAGGTGGGGCTTTGGAGTGCTTCTCAAATTGCAATGTGTTGGCAGCCCCAAGCTCTATCTTTGCACAGGGCCGGCCTTGCTTGCTTGCTTTCTGCCAGAACAGCCATCTCCTAGTTCTGAAGGAAGTGGCCACCCACTCAGTTCATTTGCTGCTGTTAGTTTGCAGTAAATGGTTACTGGCCCAGACACAGGACCACATGTAAGTGTGAAGAAAGCACACCCAAGGCCCAGTAGGCAAGCTTTCATTGCCTTTTAATGTTATCGAAAAGAAAACATGTTGCAATATTAGTATGTGTGGTTAAGGCCACAGCTTTAGACTCTTCTCTGCCATCAACTGCTCCCATAATGAAATGAATTAGGTCAGCAGGAGCAGACCTGTTGAAATTTATCAGACTAAATTATGTTGAACAACACCTACGTTCTTCTCCAGAAGCAAATTTGTGAAAGCTTCCTGGTGTTGTTTGAAGACCTTTAATCTGTGAGCTTACAGGCATCTAACCTTGGCTTCCTTCCTATCCTGGTAGACTGAATAAACTTCTTGACCTCACCTTTTAAAATAAATCATCTTTAAATAATTGTTGAGCTAGGGCTGACTGTTTTTAAGAGGTAAATTCTTCAAGTTTATGTCTTACCCAAGATTTCATTAGCCTGTAAGAATTTCCATACTTCTAGCACTGGCTTTGAACAATGCCTTCTTTTAAACTTTAATTTTGCATTCTGGCAGCTGGCACTATTAATGGGAAATTCTGATCTGCCAGGGCGAATGGCTGGGAAATTGTCTTCTTATGGTATCAAGGTAGTTTTGAGTACATTTGATGAAGCTTCAGTTTCCTCAGGTTTGTAGAATGAGCAAATATACTGTGTAGGAAACAATAGTTTTTGAACTTCTAAAAAGTTTAATAATAAAAGAACATGTGCAATTAAGAAAAGGCCTGGGAGGACAAAGGAGGAGATGTACACTACATTTATCTTCTCTTTTATTTTTTTCTAAACACTTGCATATATTTGGAACACTTGTTTTTTGTCATGTAAATTAATACATAGAGTTGGAAGCAATATTCATGACAAACAATGGGCTAATAATACCATTATATAGAGATTTTTTAAAAAGGAAAAATAAAAAATAAAAAACACAGCTGATGTATTAGAAAATTTAATTAATATGCATTCATACTATGAAGCCATTAAAAAGAAGAAATAGATCTGTGTATTATGATATAATACATTAATACTATTGTATGGTATTTATAAAGATACAAAATAAAGTAACCGGGAAATAATCAAATTAATTAACTGCCAAGTACAGTGAAAGTCTACAGCGGTGTTGTCCAAGATGGTAGCCACTAACCACTAGCCACATGTGGCTGTCAAATATTAAAATGTGGCTAGAGTGACTGAGGAACTGAATTTTAATTAATTTAAATGTAAAAACTGAAGTTTATGATTTTTTAAGATTGTTGATATGATAATATATTGGACATATTGGGGTAGATAATAGATAATATATATTATTAGAATTATTTTCACCTTTTTCTTTTTACTTTTTAAATGTGGCTACTAGAAAAGTTAAAATTACTTATGTAGCTCACATTGTATTTCTATTGGACATTACTGCTCTGGAAGGATATGCAATAAGCTATTAATAGTGTTCCTCTGGGGAATGAGATGGAGGGGATTGCAAGAGGGAAACCTTTGTTTTTTGTTTATATACTAGGTATTTGAAATGTTTATAATGAATGTACATACTCATATATATTACCTTTTAATAATGTTTGAAAAAGGTAAAAAGGAAGAATTGACTGACAACATACTACGAAGAATAAAAAAAATAGCAGAACAGGGACCAAGACAACATACAAAATGAGTAATTTATGTTTCTTAAAGAGTTGAATATTTTAAGTTTTTGTTCTCTTTTTTAAATAAATGGGCAGTGGAAAGGAAATTTGTCATTTTCCTTATAAAGAGAAAGCCGTATGTGATTTCTGTGTAGTTATTAAGTGATTCTCATTATTATCCCTAAGGCTTTTATTGTTTTGGTTGGGTTTTGGGAGGGCATTTTTGAGCTTCAAGTGATTAATGTTGAATATGAACTTTAAGTTTTGGTTCTTGGCAGTTTCTTTGCTTCTCAGTTTTATGGAGAGATTGTAGAAACCTCCTGGAACAACAAAAGGACTTTCTCAAGTAGTAAATGTTTCCTACTTTTAAGAACTTGGAGGAATATCTATTTTCTCCCTTTCTTCTTAATAACATTTATATCTGTTCCCTCCAAAATGTTTTAAATTTCCTTTGAGCGGTAACGGTTATTAATATTTCAAATGACAAAAGAGGAGTCTTTAGTTTCTCTTCCTATGATACCAGCCTGTCATTTGTATCACTGTCTGTCACTTTCCTGCCTTTGCACCAGGTTATGGAGACAGAACGGATGATTTATCTGGTGACAGAATATGCTAGTGGAGGGGAAATATTTGGTAAGTACATTTATTGCATTCTTTAAACAGCTATGGAGCACACTATGGCAAACCTAAAATAGCTGTTCAGTGCCTTTGTCACTTGAGCAGCTGTCACTTGATGCTGTCCTTCAGTGCTGTTGTTTTCTATCAACAAGGTAATTTTAATTTTTTCTTTTGATTCGCCTCGTAAAATCCCTGCAACATCTTTGTTTCCTTGGTAAAGGTGTTTCTTGTATTTCAATCAGGTGTTGACAGTTGAGATTAAAAGACTCCAAAAACAAACATCTCTCCTGGACATGTAACCAAGGGTCTTTCCTATTGCCAAGTTCTAACTGAGGTTACCAAGTGTGACGAACTCCCACAACCGTGCGGGGCTTTGTTGTGTGAGAAAGCAGCGCCACTTGGAGCATTCCTTAAACTTTGTTTAAATATAACACGTAACTGTATTCCTTACCATGTGTTCACAGTTCCCCTTGATGATTCTTGCAATTTTGGAGGTTTTGCCTTCCGTAGCTATTTTTTTCCTCTCACACTTAGCTTTAAGCACAATGTTAGAAATAAGCAGGAGAATTTGTTACTGGCAAATCTGACTTTTTGAGGTCGTAAAAACTGGCCCCCCCAAAATTCTTTTTGTAATAGTGATAAATGGAACCAAGAAGAGGTAAAGGGTAAACTTTCACATCTAAATTCACATTTATTTTTTCTTTTGGCAAGTAAGTACAGGGAAAGGCTTCTTTTTATATACTTTAGGTTTATCTAATTTATTATTATTTTTTAATTTTATAAATATGAACACTTCTAACTTAAAATATATTTAAAAGGATAGAATCACTTTTCAGGTAGAATCATCTTGTTCATGACTGGTCATTTGTGGCTGCATGGATGTGTTTGTGTGTGAGTGTGTGTGTGTGTGTGTGTGTGTGTGTGTGTGTGTGTGTGTATGAAACTTTTCCCAGCAATCTAATGTTTTTTTGTTTCTAAGATTCTTTAGGATAAGTACTAGTCTTTTTTTTTTTTTTTTTCCTTTTTGTCTTTTTTCGTGACCGGCAACGGATCGCAACCCTCAGTGTTGCCCCCGTACCGGACCGGGACCGGCCTATGGAACACAAGCCATTGCTATCCTCCCGCGCCT